TAAATCCAAGACATGTAAGTTCTTAAAGGTAAAGCATTACTGGCATGATATAGCGCCCTGGGTAAAAGTTGCTTCTTTACCCGTATTTCTTTTAATAGGGGCTTCAAAAGTGGCTTTTTTGGCATCCTGAAAGGAAATGAATGGAGTCAATTCAGGACACTTGCTACCACGTTTAAACCGTGGGTGCATTTTATTTCTCGGGTTTTCTGTGCTTGTTCTCTTCGTGCATAATGGATTCCTTTGTCTCTTCCTGGGATGCAAGTCGTTCATTCGTGTCGGGGAGTGCAGGCGAGCTCTAAATGGGGCTGCGAGTCTCGTCATTAATATTGGCGCAGCGAGAGAGGGGAGAGCCGTCTACCCGCCACTGCGCAGTCGCAGAAGCGCGGAACGAGCCGACAATGAGAAAGTGTGCCTGGGTCACAAACACACGCCGAGCACATGCAGCAGCGTGTGGGAGCTTAGGCTTCGCGCAGGGCCGCACGCAGACGCTGATAGAAAACCGGTGCCAATGCAGAGTTTGTGGAAGTACCCAGGGGGCACTGGAAACTTCCTGGGTGTGTTGAGTCATCGTTTTAGCGCCCTGTGCATCCTGTAACTGGAGGGAGAGTGGAGTGGGTATTTTTAGGACTGCTTTGGCATCGAGCGCGAGTCCTGGGCTGGCAGCACCCACTGCTCAGGGCTGTGTGCCTGTGTGGTGGTTTGTAAACACCACTGTGGGCACAACCGTGCTGTCGGACTTCCCGGGTGAAAGGTCGCGTGTGCAGGAGAGTAAAAGGTGATGGTGGGCACTTCCTGTAAGAGTGCCGTTTTCCCTGTTGGCTGGGGCCCATGATTCCACTTCCTGTGTGGAGCTTCCCTGCCGTATTAGAGTATAATGTGGGGGAGGAAAAAACAGCAAGGGAGGGAATAAATTTAATCGATCGCACTCGCTCTCAGAATGAGCTTTGTTGGTAAGTCTTTTACTAGGAATCTTCTTCTATACTCCCTCAACCCTTTACACAGAATGGAACACAGCGGCAGACTTAGCAGTTTGCATGATATGTTGTAGTACGATACAGAGTTATGCAGTTAGAAGCTACATTACCCTACAGCTCACAACTGTCAGCCCACTGAAACAGCAGGTGTGAGCCTGACCGCTATCTGGATGGGAGACCTCCTGGGAAATAGTAATAATAGGACATTTCTAAAATAGTAGGTCTGTTAACCTGCCGTGTCCTGGCCAGGTTTTCCCTGGCCTTTACCAGTCACGGCCTCCTCTCTTCTCCTCCCCACTGACAGCTGATGTGTGGTGAGTCCACTGGTGCTCTGTGGCTGCCGTTACATTATCCAGGCGGGTGCTACAGGGAAGCTCTGTATAAGTGTAAGGATTATCTATTGTGGTACAGTACAATGTAATATGACGCCATTATAGTACAGCACAGTTAGAATATATTCCATTCCAGTTCTCTCAAACTTTCCATGTACAACAGTCCTCTGAGAGCAGGAATCATTTTTTGTTGCTCTTCTTTGAACTCTTTCTAAGGCTGTAATGTTTCTGTGGTATAATGACCAGAACTCGCCATACCACACTTTATTGCTTCCCTGCTTTTTCATGACCTGTGTAAATCTGTGTAAACCCCTCGATGCCTTTTGCGTTTAACCTCCAGGCACTCAGAAGCACCCCTGTGATATGTGTCATGTATGTTCTCCTACCTGTGTAGATCACGTTGCACAGAAAAACAGAGAGGTTCCATTCATGTTTGTTGGTGGCCAGATCTCAAGGAAATAGCCCTTTTTATGTAAAATGAAATCCAGTCACCTCGTGCTTGGATCAAAGGAAAAGATGTCAAGTTCTAGCGTTTGATAGAGGTGAACCCTCCCCTCTCCAAGAAAAAGACATAGCAGCCCATAATGAAAAAAAAATAAAGTGAAATAAAATCTATTTTCTCCACCCTATTGCGCCAGTGCAACCCTTTCTAATAAATTCAGTTGCTAGGGAAACCGTGTAGGTTTTCAGCTGTTGCCTTGACAACAGCCAGGGACTCCAGTGTCTTATTTGCCGAAACAAAACCCGTCATCGTTTTACTACGGTTGCCAGCCCAGTGCGTCTCTGAGGGGAGGAGCTGAGGGATGGTTTCTGCAGGGTGTGCATGGTATTGATTAATTAGGGGTGTCAGGCCTAGGTGCCAGTGCTGTGTTTACCTACAGTGTCAGGTGTTTCGTCCACAGGCCAGACTGGACTTCACATCCACAACAATAATAATTTCTTACATTTACATAGTGCTCTTCTGGACACTCCACTCAAAACGCTTTATAGGTAATGGGGATCCCCTCCACCACCAGTGTGCAGCCCCCACCTGGGTGATGTGATGGTGTGCCAGTATTGTCACAAAACACCAGCTATCAGTGGGGAGGAGAACAGAATTCAGAAATGGGAATTAATAGGAGACCAGATATTTCACAAATATTTGAAACAGTGGCATCATCCTGTATTTCTCCACAAGTACCTTGGCAGTACCAGTGACCTTAGCATGCAGCTGTTTTCTCAGAAAGCCCCGTTCGCCGTTCGGGACTTATTGATCCCTGGTCTGCGTGTTGACCTATCCACATGCCAGTATATGCTGTGGGGGCTGTCTGATCTGGGATAAAGAATGACGGTTCATGACAGAACCTGTCTGCGGCAGGCTTTGCTGCATTGTGGGAGTTTTCCTTCCCTCACCCTGTCTTCAGCACAGTGAGAGTTGATACAATGGTGGGCAGTCTCATTGGAATAGATGCAGAGCTCTGTGAAGTGCGTAGCTGTTGTTTTTTTTGGAGGCGGAGAACTGTGGCTATTTAACTGCACTTTGAGAGCAATTGTGCTGTGCTCTTTAGCTAGTCTTTCATTGTGAGGACGTCTGTGTTACAGCAAGATCCGCTGAGGACTGACGCGCTCTAGTGCAGAGTGGCATTGATTGAGGTTATGTCCTAGGGCCGTGAACGAGGAGCCCCTGTGCGGTCTGACTCAGAGTCAGGACTGCTCTCGCCTTGCACGCTTGCTACGTCCTCTTTCCGCATTGTTCGAAAACAAAAACGGAACACACCCTGTGAAGATGAGTCAACCCAGCAGACCTGGGACCAGAGCGCTAGAGTTGAGAGCAGCATGAGAAGCAGTACTGCAATGTAAGTGGTGGGCTGCTAGACTAAACAAGCCCCTTTAGGACCTCTGACACAGGGTGCAGAACTGCCAGAGAATTCATATTACAAATACAGACCTTGGCTCAATAGCTTATTTTTCACAAGTCTGTGTGTGGGTACTTTCTCTGATCTTGGTTTTTGCATAATTCCTCAGTAGGCATATACCTCCTTCTCTCATTGTGCTGGCTTTTCCTTTCTCCCCCATCTCTGAACAGACAGCATCAGCTCTGTCCTAGCTAATACCCTCTACACACCTTATCCCTTCTGTCTTCTTTGCCTGTCTGCTGCTCCTGTCGGTGGGTCACGTCCAGTGTGCCCGAGCACTTGCTCTTCTCAATTAGGCTGTTCTTGACCTCAGTGGGTAGTGTTGCTGTAATCCATGCAGGGAAGTAGAGGTGGTGGACTGTGCTGTAATGGGGTGTTCGTGTGCACAAAGCTGTGGTTGCTTTCTGGACTCAATACCCCTCTCATGCACATCTGTTCCCAGCCTTGTGTTGGCTTGGTTTCTGGTTAAAAAGCTCTACTTTTGATGTTCTGTAAGCGATCTTCCGTTGTTCCCATTGCAGCACGTCTGGCAGGCTGAAATTGCAGAACACCAGAATCGCACCGAATGAGAGGAGGCCCATCTCATCTCGTGCAGCAGTTTCAGTTTGAAAAGCTGTAGCTTCTCTCACTTAAAGCAATTCCGATAGCCTCCCACGTGCTATACTCTCACAGATAAAACACACTTTTCAGCCCAGCCCTGCCAAACACACCAGACTGAATTCCTTTCCTACTGCGAGCTCTTGACACGTCCAGGGCACGCCCGCAGGCGGGCAGATTTATTCGCAGAGGCCTCGTGCCTTGTGCGCCGACGTTCACACGCACAGAAGTGGCGGAACAGGTCCCGATACACGAGATCCAGGCGCGGTGGAGCAGCCGTGACATGTTTATGTCCTTGGAGGTTCCCCCTCCCCCCCCCCCGCCTGTCTCTCCGAGTTCCGCCTGGCGCCTCGGAGAGCGACTTCCCAGAAAGGGGAGGGGCCTGCCTCCGCGGGGCGTGCAGAGGTGTGCTTGTGCGCGGAGCGAGGCGGCGGGGAGGGGGGTGTGGGGGCAGGATCACGAAAGAGAGCCAGCGCACGCCGGCGGGGCAGAGCTTAGCAGGGGCCCACGTGAGGGAGGCAGAAGCTGTATCCTCGCTGCGAACAGAGGCAGGAGAGGCGCGCCACTCGCAGACACCGACTCGCTCACATCGCCAGGCTGAACCGCTGGTCTCGCAGGGACCTTTCCTTTCACTGCAACACTTACAATTGAGGCCATTCCTCCAAGTGCCAGTCTCGCAGTTGTATTTAAGTGCTTTGCACCTCACAGTTCTGGGTTCTCGAAGCATACTTAAGCCATCAGTCGTAGGTTATTAAAAACTGTCAGCTTTCATTGTTGGTTAGCCTCTCTAGACCAGCCTGGAACAAGGTGCAAATACAGTGACTTCCATGCACAGTACCCCTATTCCCCAGCCCTGGTGTGGCACTAAGTGAGATGTTGTGGAGTACAAGGCTAAAGCATTTCATATTCCTTATTTTTGGACCTGTTGGATGTGCAGGCACTGATGTTGGACTGCACTGTTTGGGAATCTGTTTTTGGAAACCTAAATGCTATAAAGCTAGCTCACCGCCGGCAATTCAGAGGAACAATCCCTGACAGGAAGTTCCGGCAAGTGGTGCCCTCCTGGCACTGGGCCGTTGGCGCGTTTTGAAGCCTTGCTCCGTTACCTCCGGCTTTTTCTCGCCCACGGAGATTTGGGGACGCAAGCAGCCGGGAGCTGGCGAGCTCTGACGCGCCCGGTCTCCCTCTCCCTCTCCCTCCAGACCCTGAAGAGGAAGGAGAAGGAGTACGAGCACGAGATGGAGCGCCTGGCGCGGGAGAAGATCGCCACGCAGCAGCGGCTGGCGGAGCTGAAGAACGAGCTGAGCCAGTGGATGGACGTGATGGAGATTGACCGCGTGCTGCGCCAGACTGTCCAGCCCGAAGACGACCAGGCCTCCACCTCCACAGCCTCGGGTACCAGGGGTGGGGCAGGGGCTTAGAATCCTAGATCAGGGGTCACCATGCAGCTGGGTCCGAGTGTAGGCTCTGCTGGATGGTTCGTCTGAACACATAGGGCCACTGGTACCAGTGTGGCTTTGCAGGAGTTGATTATACTGGGTGTTAGAAGCAGGAGGCTATAACCCAGATGAGAGCAGTAGCAGTCTACAACGGCTGGATTCCTTGTTAATGCTGTAACATTTTATCTGCTATTTATTTGATGCAGTAATTAAAATGTGTGGAGAAAATGCAGGGGTTTTGCTCCGTCTGCCCATGTGTTCAGTGCCCAGTCAAAGTGGCTGCATGGCCGATGTTCAGCTGTCCACGGCCTGTTGTTCATGTTCTTTTTGAATTCATGTCGTTCCTCCAGAGGGCGAAGACAACATCGATCAGGACATCGAGGACGAGAGGCTGCCCGTGATGCCCGGCTCCCTGCCCAAAGTGCCTCCTCTCCGGCAGCCTGAGATCCTGAAGGCCATCCTGCCCCAGCACCTCTCCGTGCAGAAAGCCCCCCAGCTGCCGGCGCTGCCGTCTTCCGGCCCGCCCCTCTCGACTCAGGCCCCGCCCCCCATCGCGACCGCCCCGCCCCAGGGCGTGGCCACCACCCACGCGCACATCGTGACGGCTCCCAGCATGCAGCCCACCGTCATCGCCCACGCCGCCACCGCCTCCCACGCCTCGGTCATCCAGGCGGTCAACCACGTCATCCAGGCGGGCGCCAAGCACATCGCCCACATCGCCCCTTCCTCCTCGAACTCGGTGCAGCTCGCCCCGGCCGGCCAGCCCATCGGCCACATCACCGTGCACCCCGTCGCCCACCTCAGCCAGCACCTGCCCACCATCTACCCCCAGCCCGTGGCCGTCAGCCAGCCCGCCGTCATGAGCCACATCGCCCACACGCTCTCCCACGCCCAGGTCAACGGCACGGCCTCCAGCCAGCCTACGGCGGCCATGGTGGGGAAGCAGACCGCCCAGGTCGTCACTCACCACCCCCAGCTGATGAGCCAGACAGTGCTGAACCCAGTAACTATGGTGACCATGCCCTCTTTTCCGGTGAGCACTCTCAAGCTGGCCTGAGCGCATGGGGCGGCGCAGAGGGAGAGAGAGAGAGAGAGAGAGCGCTTGAGCGACCAGGCCTGAGCAAGAGGTATTGGGGGCTCCTCTTTAAAACAACAACAAAATGCTTAGAAATCTGGAATGAAACCACAAACTGTGTGAGAGGGGGGGAAAAAAAGCAACAGGACTGTAAGCAGCAACTCCATACATTCCAAAAGACGCAATTTTATTTTTTTTAGTAGAAATCTATAATGAAAAAAGTGTGTGTGGGGTGGGGGGAGGCGAGCAGGCGGATATTTGGGGTTCGCGTGCTGGCAGAACTGCGCCTGGGCGTCCCGGCTAGCTGTCCTGCCAGGAGGGGTGTGGGGTCTCGTTTGTGGGGTGTCCACACAGCAGAGAGAGTTGGGGGGGGGGGGGGGGGGTCTTTCTTGATGTGATGCACTGTTCTGCTCTAGACATAATAATGGAAAAAAGGAAAAAAAAATGTATCTATTTTTTTTAAATATATATAGTTGTTTTGTGAAATGTTCTCAACAGCAGGGTTTCTGCACAGAAGAGCTTACTAACAGCCGGTCAGATGTCTGTAAATGTACTAACGTGCACCTGTAATCTCGTTACGGGAAGTGTAATTGTAGCAGAACTATTGATTAGGCCTTTCTGCAGTCACCCTGCCATGTGTGATGGCTGTTGTTGAATTTGGGAATCTGTCACGACCACCCCAGCCCTCCCCCCCCACCTCGACTGGAGCTAAGCTGGCTGCGATTCTGTCTCGCCTGTGCCGAGCTCCAGGCTGCGTGGTGTCGGCACGGTTTGGGCCGGTCCGGATCGGACGGATCCAGCTCTCCCCGGGCCTGTGATCAGCTCATGCGACTCTCAGTAGGTGCAGAAAAGGAAGAACAGCGGGCTCGAGCCTATGGAGCCAAGCAGCCCGATGCGTTTTTGCAGAACGTTTCAAACCGGGCATCTGTACTTCCTGGGCATGAGGGATGGTAAAAGATGTTACTAGCAGTGAAACTATGAGTGGCAAGAGTTTAAAAACGAGTATATATGTGCTGTTGTTTATAGTCCCATTCCTTTATGCTCTGTTTTGAATGGGAACCTTATTTTCCTGTAGATGTAGCTGCTGTTACTGCTTTTTGAGTCTTGGCGAGTAGTGTGCCCTATAAGACACGGCTTGGAACAGGATCCCTTGAGGTCAGAGATGAGCAGTTGTCTGCGGTGCTTTCATGTCCCTGCATGATCACTGTGGACAGCCCAGTGCTGCCCTCTGCTGTGAAGACGGTAGTAGGGCGGCCAGTTCGGCTTTGCTCTGAAGTGCTAGATGGACGGTATAGTACACTGTGAAGTGTTAATAAAGCATTAAATCAAGGAGTGGTTTACAGTAATCGTATAGTAGAACATGGAAGGAAAGTTATGGCTGCCATTGTTGTCAGAGCCTTTTAAACGTGTTGTTATGGTAGAAGGAAACTCTGGAAAGTGTAACTCGTATATCCAGTTTGTAGTTAACATTCCACCCCGGCATCCAGCAGGATCATTTTCCTGCCAAGCTGACAAAGGCAAAGATCAGAGAAGATGTGGGGCCCTGGTCCATCTCGGCTTTTGTTTCGAACTTAAGACAGAACCATCATGATGCAGCTGGCGAAGATGTCCATGTCACAGTGGAGAAGACCGTTTCCGCTGATGGGAATATTTTAAGCCACCGCGCGACAGGAGAAACAGAGGAGCTAGTGTTAGGAAAAGCAAGGTTTCAAGAGCTGCAGCTGAAACACAAGGAAAACGAAATGCCTGCCTGGCAGACTCCCCAGACAGTAATACAATGCGAGTTGTGCGGTGAGGGTGTGTGGCACCTCGGGGGTGTTTCTCCAGCGTGCAGGGCGAGGGGAGGCTGGGATGTGTGAGACCTGTGCTGGTACCTCAGTCGCCCCCTCCTCGCGCTGTCCGTGACTGGTGTCTGCACTTGCTGCTTTGTGCAGAGCGTCTGAATGAAGGGCGTTTGCCTGAGACACCCTCGGAACCCACAGGGATGACAGAGAGGGGGTTGCTGGAGCCGGAGGTGAAGAGCAGGGTGAGCCCGGCCACATGGGGGCGCCGGTGTGCCCCTCTCTCTCGGTGGGAGTGGAGGCCTGCTGTCAGCTGTACTGACGAGCAGGTGGGCAGAGTCCCCCTGCTGAGCCACGCACGTGAGCCAGACAGGGGTTCTCGTGTTCAGGTAGGGGTGTGATGGTAAGGGAACGTGCTGGAGGTGGGTGTGTGTGTGTGTGTCGGGGGAGGGTGGGCAGGAGACACATGTATGTGTAAAATTTGCGGGAGGGGTTGCTGTGGTCAGTTTACAGTGCAGGAGGTAGATGAAGGGTCACCGTGTAGGAAGTGTAGTGCCAGTGTGGGCCATCGTGTCTTGGCAGAGATGCATGAGATTCAGAGATTCGGTACCAGGATAAAATAGCCAGCTTATAAGCAACGCTTCTGTTCCTGTCTCTTGAGCACTGACTGCGAGTCAGAAATCCCAGCACGCAGGCGAACAATCGCCCTCTGCACTGAGAGCAGGCGGAAAGGGGGTAACAGTACCGAGTCATTGGTTTCTATGAACGGCGTGTAAGTGTAAGAAAACTGAAGAACCCACTCTTAGTCTTTCCATTTGTGTGTTGTGTTAGTTTTTGTCCTCCAGGGCAGGGGGCCCACGTGGAGTCTCGCAGAAACAGTTGCTGAATTACAGTTGTGTGCGTCTTTCTCAGTGCTCTGGGCTTCTACCTTGTGTGTAGGGGAGAGACTCAGGCTGCTTGCTGCCCGTGTGTGTTTGTAAGTGTATATGGCTTTATGCTATCATGATCAGTGGTGGGGGGGAGGGGGGTGATGGTGGTCACTGAGGGAATGGGAGGGTTTGTGATCTCTGAGCTTTGTCCTGTGATGTTCCACCACGAAATGCTGCAGTATTTTTACTTGAGAAACCTCGTCTGGTCCCTTCCCTGCTCCCGAGACTTTTGTGCAAACAACTATGAATGAAATTACAAATGCCTATGTTTGCATTCCACTAGCTGTAGAATGATGATTTAAAAAAAGAAAAAAGAATCTTATATGAGGCGCAGCTTCAACTTAATAGCACTGTGACTGCTGCTGTTCAGCACCACAAACTCTAAGCAGTTTTAATAACTGTAGCGCGCTGATTGCAGAATATGTGAAATTGTTTTCCTTTGTATCATTTGTGTGTGAGTGGTTGAGAGAGAGAGAGAGACCTGGGAGAAAATATTTTTTTTCTAATGTGCTATGTATTTTTTTTATGGCATAAATTCTGAAATTCAGTTGTCAGATGAAACTTTTTTATATATATTTTAAGATTTTACTGTTGCCTGTTTTTGCATGTAGATTGCTGATTCTCCTGTTTAAATGTTGATTTTTTTTTTCCATTTGTTTTCTGGGACCATGTACAGTACTGTAAGACCATGGGGGCAACTTTACAGACCTCTCTTTCCACATTGATATTATATATATAAAATTGTGTGTTTTCCCTATGGAGAAAGTTTAAGTTATATATCGCCTGTAAATTTTGGGCTGCATTTAGATTTAATTGTCCATTATGTTTAAAAGAAAAAAAAAGAATTAAAAAAAGATCAGAAGATTCTTAATAAATCTTATTACATTTACGATGGTGTTTCTTTGTTTCTTGTAAAGTCTGAAATGAGTGTTTGGATTTTAAAGTGCTGTTAACTACATACCATAACTAGGAACTCAATGTTCAGCAGAATAAGATTTTTTTTTTTTTTTTTACTGAATTTTAAAATGATTGTTCCTTATACTTACATAGGGCCTTTCTGGACACTCCACTCAAAACACTTTACAGGTAATGGGGATCCCCTCCACCACCACCAGTGTGCAGCCCCAGCTGGATGATGCGACAGCAGCCATAGTGCACCAGAACGCTCACCCCACACCAGCTCGCATTGGGAAGTGATGAAGCCAGTTCAGGCGTGGGTATTATTAGGAGGTCATGGATGTTAAATGGGACATTTGGCCAGGAGGTCGGGGTATCACCCCTACCCTGGGATTTTTAATGACCATTCCCCCCTTGTTCCTCTAACACCCCTTAGTTTTTCCCAGGTGTCTCCCATCCTGGCACGGACCAGGCTCCCACCTGCTGAGCTTCCTTGGGCTGCCAGCTGCGAGTTGCAGGGTGATATGGCTTTTGGCAGGTTTATTTACTAAAGTGAATAACCAGTTTCTGAACAGGACGTGGTTTGCTTTTCACTGTTAAATCTCAAGAAAAAAAAAAGTCCAAACACTACTGAAATGTAATATAAATATGCTTGTATTTTATAAAACTGTTCTTTGCTTAATTAAGGGAAAGGATGCTGCTTTTATCGGTGGGGAACTACAAATAATTTCCAGTTTACTTCTCCTGTTTACAACCATGGATGTTTTATTGCATTGATAAGCTCTATTCTTACATATAAGGCACTTATATATAACACAATAGTACACTGCTTGGGTAATGGTCTCACCTTTAAAATTGTTTCTTCTGCAACCCTTGCTACAGGTCCTGAGTGTCCATGGGGCCTCAACCAGCTCAGTACAAATACCACTAGTGGCTTAATAGGAATGGGTTTTGTTTGATCTAAAAATTACAGGGTTTTCACTTACTCAAAGTCAATTTTATCTGCTACTCAACTTACAGAAGTCCAACATGTAAACCACTGTCATTGTCTCAGGGCAGGGAGCATTTTAACAAATCTCATTAAAGGTAAAATGAGTGGAACGACTTGGAAAAAAAAAACATGACACACTGAGATACTTTTCTTTTTCGTATCAAAACTCTTCTTGCGTCAAACACCACCAAAACAACCGTGACATTTAAATATCTCTTACAATTCCTGGCAAGACACCATTTTATACAGAAAGGCATGAGAAACAAATGGGTATTGGAATCAATAGCCTTTGTTGCAGTTTTAATGCCCTTCAGTATATTTGCCCATCTGTATTATAGCTTTAGAAATTGCAGGTTGACTAGTTGGTAAAATTGAAAAGCATACAATTGTGTCCGCCTTGTGGTCATTGTTGGGAATTACTAGACATTACAGCCCAACAATAAGTCATATTGGCTCAGCTGTACCCCTTGCATACGGTACATATTATATCCATTATCCCAAGTGACAAGATTTCAAAGTAAATAGCTTTCACAAATTTCAAAATTAGACGTACTCTCCTTTTTTTATTATTGTATACAATATTCCGTCACGTAGAAACGTTTGCTCTCTAAATTTATGAATTAGTACATGAACATGTTTAATGCATTCATGAAGACATGGAAAAGGAATTACTTGTAAAAAAATGTAAATGTGAATGAGACGCGATACAATCCCCCCATCCCCACTCCTACAGCACTATAACGTTGGCACAAAAGATGCAGCGTTCCCTTTGGACAGACTAGTGTCGTAACACTAACAGTACAGTTTTAAACTACAGTATTTAAATAAAAGCCTTTAAGAAAATGTTACTAGGACCTCCCAAACTTAGGGACCTAAGTCCTTGAAAATAAATCCTCAAACAGCACTGCTGAGTCACTTTTGAAATTCCTTTGTGACAGCACAAGCACATCGAGCCAAGTCTACAATTTATTTCCCCACCCTCCCTTCTCTTTATCGTCACCCTTCCTGAAAATAAAATGTACATCTCACATACCCATTTAAAATCCAACCTTTCTTTCATGAATCCATCTTACTTTGTCTCGATATTTATCAAGCGACAGCCAAAAAGGATGCACAATCATTTTAAAGTCCTCCCTCTTAAATAAAACTATAAAACAACTGCGCTCAAAGATCTGCTTCTTTCCTTCTCCACTGGGACAGATCTCCTAGTAAGTCTGCAGGAAGCAGCAGTAAAGTTATTGTATACCTGCTTGCTCACAGTTGTGCATTCTCACTCAATGGCCTTTGCTTCTTTTTGAAGGAATCTTGCAGAATTGCAATGCATTTTTCTCAATTCTCCTTTTGCTACAGGGCTTTTCTTAAACCATGGCACTTTATGCAGCCTTTTAAGAAAATACCTGCTACTTTAAAAAAGATACATAAACAACAGCTCAGAATTGCTTGTATCGGCAGCACCACGTCATTTTTAATGATAATACAGTATGAGTTTCCCCTTAAGAAATTAGTGCTACTTTATCAACCTCATTTTTAGTTTTACAAATGTAGCAATGAAGCTTTGTGCTTTCATGTTGTACCTCAAGAATGGCAGTCCATTTTTTTAGGTGGTGTATTCCAATTCGATATTTACCAAAGCATATTAAGACCAGCAATACAGCACATCACCTAACCTCAATAGCCATGCACATTTTTCTTATACAGTTTTGATGTAGAGGTGGAAGCCTTCCCTTCCAAAAAAGATGTCAGTCTCTCTCTGTATGGAATTTAAAAGGTAGGATTTTGTACAATCGGGGGGGGGTGTCTCAGAAACGGCTACCGTGGTGCCTTCTCATGACTGTAGAACTCAAAGAAAACTAGAAACAGCCATTTTCTTGGTCCATTTCCCCTCTTAGTTCTTTGGTTGTGAAAGCACTAACTTTAGAATTTATGACAGTAAACCCTCAGTTTAATGGACTTATAGTATATGGGGAAAGAGGTGTCCATTACTGCCAATTGTCTGTTAAATCACAGATGAGGTTTTTTCAGCCCCAAAACACACCATCATAGGAGAGCTATATACTGTATATATGCTTTCTATCTTTTCATTTTTTTAACAATTACACCAAAAAAGTGATTCAATTGTTCATGTGCCCTTTTACCATAAATACACAAGCTCTGAATTTCATGTCATGAATATACTGTATAAAATTCATTAAAGCATACGAAACACCGATCGTAAGAAACCGACCTACCCCTAAAGGGCACCACTGATGTTCCTGAAATTGAAACCTATATAGTATTTATTTTTACTTTATTTTATTTTTGATGCAAAGATCAGGATTCAAACTACTCTTTGGCAGATTTTGTCTGTACGTTAAAGCCAAGCCCATTAAACCAAAGGTTTACTGTATTATATTAATCTACTGCTATTACCCAAAGCAACATACAGTACATTTGTACCCAGTGGTATAGCTTGGTGTTTACAGAGTTAATCTCAATATACTACCTTAGTCAAAAGCCCAATAGTCCAAACTTCCAGTTCTGAGTCCAGATTCCTAACCAGTACTTCACACTGCACCAAGGAACTTGACCATTAACATTTCAGATAGCAAATGGTAGCTTTTTTTGAGTGGTTTGGTTTTTAGATAAAAAAAACAGACTTCCCCCCCACAAAAACTTTGACAATATTTCCAGATTCTGATTTCCCTCATCAGCTTCAGGGAAGCAGTGTCATCTTCAACAGTTTAGGAAACCCATTCCTGAGTTACTGAACTGAATGCACCATAACCCCACCTCTTCCAGCTACCCCTCTGAATCAGAGCACGTGGATGCTTCTTCATTGCTGATTTGAGCCACCCTGTACAGTTTATGGAAAACACAATCCTCAACCGTATTTGAAGGGGATTGACACAGGTCCTGAGACCGTTTAGATGCACCGTTCCCAAAATTAAAAGCTCCATTTGTGAAGGATCTGGGCATCTGAGAGAAGCCATATCCAGCAGTTTTAAAAATAATACAAAGCAAAAGAGTAAATAAAACTAAATAAAACAAGTTTTCACAAAAAAAAAGACAAGGTCTTCACAATTTAGTAACAAAAACAAATTATTCCTCTGTATATATATATAAAAATTGTAAATAAAGTTCTGTTCCCATGTATAAACTAAAGGATGGAAGAGCGCTGATATAACTGTGACCTGAGGGACTGAACCCTTTTTCTTTAAAGTAACAAGGCCTCTGGCTCCATAACCTGACGGAAAATTAATACAAACTTCCATGTACAGTAGAAGTATCCAGCATTGGTTGTGAAATGCAAATAACGGCAAATAAAAATCATACATTTCCTGGAAAGTCTACACCTTCCTTGCTCTCTGCTCTCATCCAGTTACAATTAACAAAATTCAAGGTCACTGGCCCAATCCCTTTCCAGTGAGGAAATGTTCTGAAACAGGATGAAAACCTCTGTAAAGAAAATCACAATTTTCCCACCTGAAGGAAAAGCCGATGGGAGGGACAATGCCACAATACCAGGAAAAAAGGAACACTGCATCTTTACAAGAGCCGGGACAACGCTAGCACGCTCTTCTGTCTTTTGAACTAGGTGAAACAGATATGCCAGTTCTCAGCCACCTCCGACGCCATCGTCATCGACTCTCTGCAGTCCAGTGGACTTTACTGTGTAGCACAGGTCGGGCAACGCAGACAAGTACAGCAGTGAAACGGTTATTATTTGGCTCTTTTGTTTTGGGAAAAGATGGGCAAGGTGGGTGAGTTTTAGGACAGGACACAGGGATAATCTTGGGAGTCTTCTGATCACAGGAGGCACTGGGGGGTTAAGATCCCTCCTTCTGTCCGTGCATCTGTTCCTGGATCTTCTGCAGCATCTCCTGCATCCGTCGCAGCTAAAAAGACAGAAGGGGCCAGTCAGCACAAAGCATAACAAGAACAAGCTTAATGAAGCAAATCGAGCCCAGAGCTGTAATAAACTCATAGGACACTGCTGGCTTCAAGGACCGCAGGTTCACACACCTGCTGTGAACGACAAGGGTAGGAGATTCTTCCTGTTGTTTTAATGGAACAATCAACTCCAAACCCTTTCACTGCTAC